CTCAACGGCCATTTATGGTGTTCTCCAAGAAGAGATAAAATGGATTATTAATCATTCCGCGATCAGTTCTAAAAACTATGAAAGGGCATGCCAATGTAAAAGATATTTTTGAACGACAAATAAACAAACATGTGACCGTTCATCATTCTCGCAAAATGCAATTTGCCCAAGAATATGAATGACAGACCAGAGAGCTGCCAAAATGATAATGTCTCACCTTTCTAGTTTAGAAACGACATCGTAGTTGTTTATTTTCTCTGGAACGATTTCAAGTCGAACAATACCCTCACTTATGGAAACCTCTGCTAATAGCTTTCCACGCTTGAAGAGTGTCTAAAACAGCGCATGAAATTACACATCAAAATACAGCGGAATTGTCTAGCGCTTACTTCCATGATCTCGACTGCTGTGTCGGTGTCAAGATATGCTCGAGCGGCCAAATCAGAGAGTGGTATAGACGAAAAAGACTAAAAAGCATTGATTCAGCGCGCCACAACAAGGTTATTGCCGAGAAGAACAACAAACCTTTGCTACAGAAAGGACTGCCTTTTCTCTAAGTTCCTTCACTATTCGTGTGATAAGTCCTACCGCCCCATCCTGAACGAACATCCATTATACCTATGCGATTCAACCTTATCTCAGCACGTACCTCTGTAAATACTTTTCTGTTGTCATTGAGCACCTTTTCAACAGCACTTGCTCGATCACCAGCAGATTGAACAGCGGTTGCAAGAGCAGCATATGGATCCCCTGCTAATTTCCAAGCACGAGTCAATGCTGACGAGCGACCAGCTGGCATGATAATTTTGCCAGAATATAATAAGCTCGCAAGATAGAACCTTAATTCAATTCTCAGTATATAACGAATGGAATAATTAAAGTAAGCTACTTTAGAGCTAAACGATCTGGGCCAAACAACATCCTCGGACCTACAACGAGTACTTTTGTCTTCCACCCTCTTACTTGACTCCATAATCCCACAAACCCGTTTTCGCACACGTGACATCTAAAATGATGATCGAATCGCGGCTGATAGTAAAAGATGCAGGGAACTCAAAGAAATTTCAGGGCACACTAGGAGTTCGGAAACTATCCTATCATGAGAAAAACAGGCAAGACCCCCACAGCAAATAAATTAAAAACGAAAGAGTCTGAATAACACTGACTGACTGACTTGCGACTTAGAAGGATGGCAGAATCAGAGACAAGGATGAAAACAGTGCCTCAAGTGATACCACACCTCAATAGCCTTCTGTAACGAATCGCCAACCTGATGCATGCTTACTTCAATTAGAAGTTTCAGTGCGCAATATAAAATGGGGAGGCCATATGGTAAATATACTGATTTTCACGATGGAACTGTCGCCCCTTTGATCATACAGGAGAATGCCAGCAGATGAAAATAGCTGGATTTAGAGCAGATACGGGACAAGGTTGCATAAATCTGCCGAGCACGCTTAATACCATGGAGATAGAGGCGATGCCAGATCCCTACCTAACCAACGAGTGACACCATACTGCACGTCATGTCGAAAAGGAAAAAAGAAAAGTCAGCATGCATAGAAAACCGTTAACGTTCACAGATTTGAAAAAGAACAAGCGCAGCGGAACGCCAACTTTTTAGCGGAGGCCAAATACTTTCCTTTTGTTTACCGAGAATGAACTGAATTTACTCCTCTCAGAGCTGATGCTATACACAGATAGGGATTCAGTGCGGTATACACACACGTGAGCAACGAAACAAAAACAGTGAACGAATACAGTTCTGAACTTGAACATTGAACATCTGAAAGACTCGAAGATGCATAGATATAGACGGCGTCGCCGGAAGAGATCTTTCATGGACCCAGCTCAGCATTCTATCCCATAGTCGTTATACTGTCGGTATCTTACCTTATCGACCACGCACAACACTTCCCAGGGGCAGGTGAAAAAACATGCCTTGAAAGAGAGAAATAAAACCCACTTCTTCAACGCATCAAGCTGTGCCACAGTTGTCGCTGAACCAGGGATCAATATTGCACTTTCCAATAAAGATATAGCACGACGCAGTTCATTCTTAATCACGACCGATGAAAATAAAATAAACTTCAAAAGAATGAAACAACAGCCAAACTTACTCTTCTCATCAAAAGAATAGCACCATAGTAGAGATATAAGAGCATGTATTTTGACTCAAAATAGACCGGCGCTGGTGCAGAAACTGCTCGTTGTTTACGAACATGTTGCACGTTTTCTGTTGTGGAGTCAGACGTGCTAACAGGACTCTGAAAGAAAATGATACACAGGAAATAAATAAGGAAGGAAAACTATTAGAAATCTCTTAGACGTTGGAAACACAACCACTTTCAAACTAATACATGCCTAATTAGAAAAATGTAGAAATCGAAAAAACGAATCTACCCAGGCATGAGTTCAAATTGGATTTTCCTATCGAAACACATCAAGCGTACCTCATTCACTAAGGCGGTGACGTTCCTGTATATGTACGGCAAGGCTGCGTCAACGTTGTTCAACCGAACACATACAGCAAACAACGCCGAATGGAGAGAGGACACAATGCCTTCGTTGGGATCCACCAACACTCGCATTGCTGACAGAGCAAGATCAAGCCCTATTTGAGGCTAAACAAACACGGACCAATTACAGAACGATTTATTCGAAGAGAAAGAAAAACAGCTTTGAAACGCTTACTTCATTCTTTTTCTTCAGGCAATAGTTAACGGCATTCCTGGCAAGCGGGAAAACTGAAAAAGAGCCAATAGAGGAAATGAAAGCGTCGGGAAACCATAATGCTATTTTCATAAATGGACCATAAGTGTCATGTTCTATCAACTAGAAATGTACTTACCAATGTCTGGCACAAGTTTCAAATGCTCCACAACCATGTTTCCACTTTCAATGAAATGTTTGAAGAATTCCACCGCTCTGTCAGCACCCTGCTCGTTGTTTTTTGCGATAGAGTTATCGTAAAGAGCTTTTATGGCAACCATCATAGCTGCCTTAAAAAGTTATATTACTCAGAAAAAGCAGAAACGTTACTGGGTCAAGACTGAATTCAAGAAAGTTAACAAAACAAAACGCATGGATCATTTAAAAAATCTAAAGAACATATATTATGACCATTGCACCTCCAAAAAGATAACAAAGCGGTGGGATTCTCTCTTTTCCAAAGAACTCCTTCTTCCTTCGTGACCAACTACCTCCCAGTCACCATATCCTGATTATGAGCCAACAAAAGAAACAACGTTTGCAGCGAACGAAGAAAGTCTTTTCCCCTCACAAAAAAAATATTCGAAACTGAGATTAGGCAAGTCACCGGAGCCCACCAGAACATCATTTCTATTCGTCTGGTGCACCATCAGTGCGATTTGCCAAAATGCACAATTGATGCACCAGGCGAATGGTGCACTTGAATTGTGCACCACTTCAACGTTATCGAATTTTCCCGTTTAACTGGGACCAGTTTAGCAGTGACCTCTCCGAACTTTATTCAATGAGGTCTGCCTGTTATATGGAAAAAGGATTTGCAATCAACTTCCAAAGACGCGAGGGACACATCTGATGATATATAAAGGGGGCCAAAAAAGACACTTTGGCCAAGTCACATATC